GTTGATTATTGATCAACGTCTCTAATGGGATTTTCTGTTTCGTATGATCACAGATCACGCCGTCTAGATGGAATCGCCTTCGGCCCAGGATCGTCTTCTCGAGGCCCAAGAGGATTTCAGCTCGCTAGAATCACCAGGGACGGTGTCCGCGCCGTCGACGACAGCCGAGTCAACGGCAACGACGGAGACTACGCTGCAGGAAGCTACAGGGACAACGTTGTGCACGAAGATCGTCAATGAGGCCGGATCAACGACCGATCTTGGGGACATTTCTCTGTCGGAATCGAACGGGAACGTCGGTATTGGTGCTGGTAGCCACACGTCACCATCATGCGAGGACACAGCGACGAACAGTTCCTGGGAAATCGGCGCGGAAGACGTTGAAGCGATGGGTCTGAAGTTGGGCAAGTGTAGTAGCAAAGGGGCGGAGAAGAATGACGCGGGCGAGCCAGCCGCGACGGTTGTCGAAGCGGTGAAACCATCGAACGACGATGAGCTACCGGCCGAACAACAAGGGGACTGTGTTGAGGCTACGCCGCCGGCGGCTGTTAAGTGTCCGGACCAAGATGAGGATCTCAGGGTTTCCGGTGGGGGTGTTGGTGCCAGTGATGGTGCCGATGATGATACCGATGGTAACGCCGATGGTAACGCCGATGGTGATGCCGATGGTGATGTCGATGATAGTGTGCTGGCAATCGGATCACCAACGTCTAGGAAGAGGCCGGCCACCGATTTCCTGCCGATAAATGCGGAGATCAAGCGAATCGGCGTTGAAGTAGCGGAGAACGAAGGGAACAATCAGTTGCGCAGCGACGTAAGGAGGATCTCACCGGTGCTGGTAAGCCTGCGGGAGCGCACTCTCGGCGAGATATCGCTCTCTTCGGACTCGTGCCTGTTCGATGACGACGTGAGCGCCCGCTGCATGTCGCGTAGTGGTAGGATTCACGAGAGCCCGTTGTCTACGGCCGGTTGCCGACTGAACGCGAGCTTCGACAGCTCGCCGCAGATCAGCCGGGACTCGGAGACGATTGTTACCGGAGAGTCCAGGGTGTATGGTCTGTCTCCCGCGGACGGTGATCCCGACAACAATGTCGAGGACGTGAGCGACTGCACCCGCAAACTGGACTTCGCCGACTCGTTCATCGACGAGGATTCGTGTTGCTCGCTGCCCGGAGAGAGTCCCGAGAGGGATCACCGTCCGTGCCAAGAGAAACAGTGCGAGGAGCCGATCGAGACCTGTCCGTGCAAGACCGCATCTGCTGACGCGACGTCGTGCCACGCGGACCAGATGAAGGGGCCTTATCCCTATTTGGTGGTTATGCTGGAGCGGATCGATTATTCGACCGTCGCGTCCGCCACAGACAGGACGGAGAAGAAGCGGCCAGATAACAACAACAAGAAGAAACAGAGGAACGCTGGAGAAAGTAATGTGCCCGATATAAATGTCGAGTCGGACAGTCCGGTGAATGAGATGTGCTACGTTCAAAGGTACACACCCCCGAAGAAGATCGTCCCAAAGACTGACTTGGAACTGGCCAAGAAGCAGTTCACATCCCCCATGGTGACGAGGTCGAAGACGCCGACTATTGAACTTTCCTCGCCGTCTTTGATCGACAAGAAGTCGTGCCAGGTGCGCTTGGAGAAGCTTGTCTGGCCAAAACTAATTAGAACATCAGAAAAATCGGTTAAGGATGAAATCACAGTTGGTTCCGCGAAGAAGAAGGTGACCAAGGATGAGGAAATCGCGTCGCCTTCGTTATTACTGTCCACGGAAAGTCTTCAGCCGTCGAGTAGCAATCGAAATTCCATCGACGCAAGACCCAACTCGCCGGAAGAGCCTTTGGAACCCCCGACCGATGCCCCGGAAGCTGTTGACACCGAGACCGAAACCGAGACTGGTTCCGACAGCTCCGAGGTGTCCTCTATGACCAGTGTGCCCCTTCGCGGGTGCGACGACGACGCCGTTTCCGATCAAGTATCCTGCCCTGAGAGCGAGTCCATGTGTTGCGTGGACATCAACCCAGAGATCATCACTAGACTCGAAGCAGAGAGGCCGGAAGCCTTTACGGAGGACTCCGCGGAGAGCCTGGCACTCGCCACTGGTGCACGGGATGAGGTCCGGTCGGATGGCAGCGATTCGGGCCTCGGAAGCGAGATCCCTGGGGATCCTGGACCCGCACCAGCCCCGGAGAGTGACTCGGAGACTTCGTTCTTAGATAGGATACCTGATGATATTCTCTCCGATAAAGAGAAGGGTGAGCATTTCTTTTAACATTCTACTTTGTTTTATTTATGTTGAGAAAATTGTTTAGAAGCTTGCTATGTTTACTCATGAATTTCCGCTCTTTTTAATTATATTGTTCGTTAGTTGGATGACTTAGCATTGAATTGTTTCATGAAACGTGATTGTAGCTTGCCTGGATAGTTCGAAAATATGTTGGCATCCTAGTAATTGATACCATTACGAGGATGTCGAGTTTGATATTATGTTTCTTTGTTCGGGCTAAAGAAGTTTTGGTGCGCCGCCATAGTACACACGAGAACGAAGATCATTGTTAGAATATGATAGTCACAACAGGTATTATCTTTCAGCCGTGAATCAACTGGACTCTTTCGTCCCCAACGTCGTCGTACCAGGGACGCCGCAAGCACCGTTGACAACGTTCCCCAGTCCGCCGAAGAGCAATCTAAAAAGAAGATTAACAGACTGCATGGAAGGGGCTCCCAACCCGAAGAGAAGCAATACCGACGAGCCGATGAAGAAGAAACGCAACATTCATTTCGACGCAGTAACCGTCTACTACTTTCCTAGGGCGCAAGGTTTCACCTGCGTGCCATCTCAGGTAGGACAATTCAAATTTCTCTCCGAAAGTGATAGCCCTTTGCTTTAATATTTTTTCTTAAAGTTATAAAAAATGTGTCGTTAATTATTCGTAGAGAAAAGAATAAAATCCTTATTTTATATTATCAAATTTAATGTTAAGATTAATTCCCGATAATACGCGAATTACTCGCCTACGATAAAATTTCGAACGAAATAAATTTAATGAAAGTCCGAGTCCCAATTGACGTTATAAGGTAAAGGGTTAATGCGGCTTTAAATTGTTTCCTATTCAAACTGTTACACCGAAAGATCAGATGCTGTTCAGTCTCCATTCTCGAAATTAGTCTGTAAATATGGAAGTTTGCTATGAAACCCCTCGGAATATATTTTGTTCGTGTCGTTCAGTAAAAAACAAAGAAAGTGATACACGAAATTCCCGTGAGAACCTAAGAATTTAATTTTGAGAGACACGACCCGACATTCCAATTTAAAGTCCACGAGTCCCTGAATGAAACGAATGGTAATAATAGTAACCGTCCGAAAGCGCTTATTAATAGAAATTGATCGATCAACCGACAGGGAGGCAGCACTCTTGGTATGAGCGCGACGCACACGCACGCCGAAAGGTTCTCGTTGTCGGAGCACGCCGCAGAGCAAAGGCGCATCCATCGAGCAAGATTGGCCCAACTACGTTCCGAGCGGGCCGCGAACTGCGTCGTGGAGGCGGCGTCCAGCTCGGAGGATCCCAGCGACGACACGGACGAGGAGCAGAGCGACAATGAGGAGCTAGACATCGACAGCTATTATTTTCTCCAGCCGGTGCCCACGTGGCAGCGAAGAGCCTTGCTCAGAGCGGCAGGGGTGCGTAGAATAGATGCCGTCGAGAAGGACGAATGCCGCGACATCAGAGCCAGCAGAGAGCATTGTGGCTGCGGGTGTAAAGGGTACTGTGATCCCGAAAGCTGTCCTTGCAGTCGCGCAAACGTAAAGTGTCAGGTTGGTACAATGAATACTGAAATTTCCATTAAACGCCGCGCAGATTTCATGAATCTTCTTGTATCATCGCCACAATTAATCGAGTAATTTTTATCTGACAATATTAGATTGTTAGTAGTTATTGCAAGTGATTTGGTATCTAAATTTTGTTACGGGTTCGCAAGATACTTGCCAATAAAATCTATCCAGCGAGCGCTTCTCCAAGTACCGTTTACTGCTATGATCAAACCTATGAGTTAACGGATTATTCACGATTCTTAGTTTTATTCCTATTTATGTTAAAGAAATGAAAATAATCTTATCGTTTCCTGTTCAATGTAATAGGTCGACAGAGCCGGCTTCCCTTGTGGATGCACGCGTGACGGCTGCGCGAACATTTCGGGTCGGATCGAGTTCAACCCAGTACGCGTGCGGACGCATTTCATTCACACACTGATGCGGCTCGAGCTGGAGAAAAAGCAACGCGAGGAAGAAGAGGAGGGTACGGATCACGACGCTTCCGACAATCAGAATGGCAGAAGTCCGTTGAGGGAGATCAATCTGGGATCGGTGATGGAGAATAGGAACGCTGCGGAGTCATGTCTGAGCGGTGGCGGTTTCACCACACTTCACTACGAAAATCACGATGCTGGTGACGGCGGCACGAGTTGTCAGCCGGATGTGCCCGGCACCAGAGAGGACAGTTTAGATTTGTACGCGATCAGGGACGATTGTTACCCAAGCGAAGACACTGTCGACGGTACGCAAGGACCCCAAAGAAAATTACATCCTGAGTTTAGTCAAGCGTTTCAGACGTTCTCGGGTCAAACTGGTGCCGGGGTGAACTTCCAGCAGCCCGCGTACCAGGACTACCAACCTTACGCTAACCTTCCTTCCACGTCCAGGGTGCAATTCCAGCCGCACTTTCAAGCGGTACCGGGTAATTCCGGGTTCTCGCATTACGCGCCCTACGGGCAAGATGCTGGCACGATTCCGGGAAACTGTCAGGTCCATCCAGGCCAGCATACGTCTGCCGCGGCTGCATACGAAGCGACCTTCGCACAGGACGAGACGACCGGCTCGCAATACACGAACCTGAGCTCAGTGCAGCCGGCCCACAACGCCGTGCAGCAAATGGGTAAGCTGGAGCCATTTTCCGAGCTTCTATCCGGCAGATACTCGTACTATGGCGAGATGGAGCCGCAAGCGCACGGTACTTACCACGCTAACGGGACGAAGGTCGAGGCGGAGAAAGGCCAAGGTAACGAACAGCAATCCGAGAGCACGGAGGAGTGCGACGAGAATTTCGGCGAGATCATCAAGAAGTCGATGGTCGAGACTGTGTCCGCTTAAGATGTCGGAACTCTAGATACGCACGACTGAACGTTCAGGTCGCGAGCCCAGCACCGCTGTGTGTCGCTTGACTCGCGCGTGAACGGTTTGACGACACGAGACGACGGGACGGAGCTTCGAATTTCCTCGTCGGAACGTCTCGTAATGCGGATGAATGGGAGAAGGAGTTTTAGGACACGTGGGGGAAATGCAGAATTCTTCTTCTCTCATCTTTCCGCGTGTTAGATAAATCTGAGTATAAATTGTTTCGGTGGTTTTCGAAAAGAACGGTGAAGAAACGGTTCTGCTCGAGAATTACCACCACAATTAATCGTACACGACGAGTCCCGTGGATGTCATTAGGGAAATTAATGCGGCTACGTGTGCGTCCGCCCGGGATGGGAAAATGCTTCAAGAAAATGCGTCGTCGTTCTCGTCCCGTTCTAGAGAAATTGTCGGTCGCTCAGCGATCGAACCCCGCCACGTCGGGCCGGGAAGGCGACGCACGCTCCTCCATTATGCGAACGAGAACAACGTAAAGAGGAGATCCGGAAGCCGCGAGCACTCTTCCGGTGAAAGATTCCTCGGGGGCTAGAAAAGAAAAAGGTCTTCGTCGAAAATCTCCATTCGAACACAAAGTCTCCTTGGCGACCGGCAAGGAACCGCCGCGACCGATGTCTACAGACATGCGAATTCAACGAGGTTGTGACCAAGAAACAACATGGGATCAGCTTAGATTGCAGTTTATAAGAGAAACCTTAACTTTAATACTTTAATCGTAGGATCGCGGGTTATATCGCGTCACCTTTTTAAAAACGAGAGAATATTATAAAATGAAGAAAATGAAAATGCTGAGAAAAAAAGTGCATAAAAAGACGTGCGACGCAATCCCGTGCACGGGACACGTTTTTTCGACGTTTCGCGTGGCGACAACGCTGGCAACGGCGGGGAAACGCGCACGATGTACTACGTCGACCGAATTTGCGTTTTGCTTTATCGATGCGCACGGATGAGATGCTACATGATAATCAACGGTACATGCGGAAACACATTTGTAACACGACCACAAGAAATCTGCGAGCGATTGTGATACTTGTGTATATGCGACGAAAAAAAACAACAGAGCGCAGTTTTGCCAGTCGAAAATAGGTTAAGGACATAAGTTACGGGACTTTTTTTATGCCGGTGTGCAGGAATATCGAGTTCGAATGGTTTCTGTCTTATTTTTTTTCAATCGACGGTCGATGGTGTACGATAGGGAATAGCTTCTTCCTCGTGTTGTAGTTGAATATACAGTGACTGCGCATTGCGGATACACAATCACACAGACAGACACAGTCAAAAGTATACATGCCGGAAAAAATTATACACACACACAAAACCTTATGCAGTCTTAAAGGATCATGGGTTGAATAGCTTAAGCAGGCATACGTTGTCTACAGAACTCGTTATATTTGAATCGTTAATTTTTATTATTTGCGTTTTTCCAAAATACACCATTTTATTATATGCGTTTCATTCTTCGATGATCGTGTGGCGGCTGACATAGTAATTAATAATGGATAGAAAGATATATGCTCAAGGAAGAAATGGGGCGTTTTGTCCGGGATCAGCTAGTAGACTGGTCACTAATACTCATGTAGCAGATCCAGCCTTAGACTCGAGGATGATACATACAAGGTGTAGAATAACATGTAGTCTATTTCAAGACTGGATAAAGGACACAGAAACAATGGAAACGTTCATTCGAACATGTACCCTATTTACCTTCTTTTAAAGTGGTAGCCATTTTTGTGTTTCTATAATCGGCAACTGTCTACCTTCATACAAGGTTTACAAATGGCTACCGTCGGTTTTTATGCAAGCCTGCGGTCGTCATACCAAGCAATTCCGTAATCTTTCGAAAACTCTAGTTACATGCCGATTTTGTTAACACACCTGGCTATAACTTCAAAACAAGATCAATTAGTATATATGTTCGTATATATGTACCTTTTTCATTGTTCTCGAGTACTTTATATACTGTTGAAATAGGTCCCACGTGTTATGATGTAGTTTGGGTAAAAATAAATGAAGGAGCAACTAGAACCAGTGATGACGTTATATCGACGTCATCGTAGCCTCCTAGTAGAGATCGTAGGAAATGTCGCCACGATCGAGAAACAATTCCAGCGATTCGTTCAAATATTTTGTATAACATTTGTCAGGTGTCTTGTACATTTATAGAACAATGTATTTTATCAGTGCAATCATAACTTCTCAGACATTGTTCGTCTACATTTTGAGCATGTATTGCAAGGTTCTTGTTTCCGTTGTTTTTAACTTGCATTAAATTTTGTTCTGTTTTCCTATCGTTAACAAATAATTCTACATTTTAGACGAGAATCGAATATCCGGATCTATCAGGTGCTCATGAAACGCGATCTGGCTACCGAATTATAATTTCTAGCGACGCCAGTTGATCCCCCCCTCCCCCCAAACAATCTACGCGAGAGCGATTTTACAGATTCATTGTATAAAACTATTTATTGTTTTCGATTGTATACACTTTTATACAGAGAAGTATGTAAGTAGATCTAATCGATAACACGTTCACCTGTGGACACGTCGTTGTCGCGGCTCCGTTGAATCGATATCAGCTGTTGACCATCGCGGGGAGTCAACCCCGCGAAGTTGAA